ATCCAGGGGCACACAGCCTGGGGATCCTTTAAATGAATTCCTCAAATTCCTGGGATCCAGGGGCACACAGCCTGGGGATCCTTTAAATGAATTCCCAGTCAGGAGTTAACCAGCCCAGGCATGACCATGAGGGTGTGAATTGGGAATTCCCATGACCGTGTGGCTGGAAATCAGGAATTCCCAGCCCAGGAATGCCCCCAGGGATGTAAATCAGGAATTCCCATGCCCTTGTGGATGTAAATCGGGAATTCCCAGCCCAGGGATGTAAATCAGGAATTCCCAGCCCAGGGATGGATGTAAATCAGGAATTCCCAGCCCCAGGGGTGAATGTAAATCAGGAATTCCCAGTCCCAGGGATGTAAATCAGGAATTCCAGCCCAGGAATGACCTTGAGAATGGAGCTCAGGCATTCCCAGCCCGGGAAGGGCTGTCAATCAGGAATTCCCAGGCTGTCAATCAGGAATTCCCAGGCTGTAAATCAGGAATTCCCATGCCCCCCGGGATGTCAATCAGGAATTCCCAGGCTGTAAATCAGGAATTCCCATGCCCCCCGGGATGTCAATCAGGAATTCCCAGGCTGTCAATCGGGAATTCCCAGGCCCCCCGGGATGTCAATCAGGAATTCCCAGGCTGTCAATTGGGAATTCCCATGCCCCCTGGGATGTCAATCAGGAATTCCCAGGCTGTCAATCAGGAATTCCCATGCCCCCCAGGATGTCAATCGGGAATTCCCAGGCTGTCAATTGGGAATTCCCATGCCCCCTGGGATGTCAATCAGGAATTCCCAGGGTGTCAATCGGGAATTCCCATGCCCTCCAGGCCGTCAATGGGGAATTCCCAGGCTGTCAATGGGGAATTCCCAGGCTGTCAATGGGGAATTCCCAGCCCGTCAATGGGGAATTCCCAGCCCGTCAATCAGGAATTCCCAGGGTGTCAATTGGGAATTCCCAGCCCGTCAATGGGGAATTCCCAGCCCGTCAATGGGGAATTCCCAGCCCGGGAATGGGGAATTCCCAGCCCGGGAGCAGCCCTCAGTGAGGAATCCCTCCCGCAGGGCGGCGAGAAGCTGCAGGACGCCTTCTACACGTTCCAGGAGCTGGCGGAGCGCGGCTGCCCCTCGCTG